ACTCCAAACCAAAAAAAAAAAAAAAAAACATTCGAAAACAACAATCACCACTTCCTATCCTTCTGCCCCATCAGCAAAGTATAATTTAATATGACAATAATAAAATGAAGCCATGCATGCTTGCAGAACTGAGAGCCCTTTCTACTGAGTCTGTTTAGCTTTATGAAAATCTCACTGCGTTTGTGGCCCTAGTTTCCTCATTGTACAGTGGAACAGTTGAAACATGGGTCACGAAGAGCCAATCAGGAGACAAACATCTGGGAGGCGATAGTACTAGGACACACAGGTGTCCCTCACACTCACGGGCAGGCAAGCCATCACCCATCATACCATGTGCCCACACACACACCATACTCAGCCCTTTGGATGAACAGTCACCCCATGCTCCTCCCCCAGGGGCCCCTAGATTGGAACACCTGCCCTGACCCCCAGGTGAGGCCATACCTCTCTTCTGAACCCAGGGCAAAGGGCCAGGCTCACCCACCTATGCCAATCAGTGAGAGAGACTGGTTGTTGGCACTGGAGCCCATTGGGGTGCGGAGTTGAGGCCAGAGGTGGGCTTTGCCTCAGCTGGGAGACCAAAGTTCTGTCCATGTCCAGTTTTCTCTGAAGACTGAGAGTCCAAGGACCTATCTCTGGTTAGTTCTGTGTCCTTGAGCAGGTTACTTTCCCTCTCCGGGCCTCCAGGCATTGACCACAGCATGCTGTGCTAGTACTATGGGGTTATCGAGGTTCACCCTGCTCTGCCTTGGCCCCAGGGGACCCACAGGCCAGCGCAGGAGTGTGTCTGGGGAAGAAGAGGATACTCTTGCATCTCTCCTTCAGTGAGACCCACAGGCCGACAAGCTGTAGGGATTTTTGAGGAGAGAGAGAGACCTGATGGGGTCAGGAGAGGAGGCTCCATCTGCACTGGTCCAAGTGAACTGTCGCAGGCTTCCGCAGCTTGGTCACCCACCTGGAACACAACGGCCCCCCCTGGTTGCCCAGCCCAGAGCCCTGCAGGGCGTGTGACTCACTTCGTGGGGGGCCATTGTGGCTAATGTTTAACGTGATGCCGCCTTCAGTGGGGCACTTTAGCCTCAGCAGCACTGAGCACCCAGCCCTGCCCTGATTGCCTTGCTGCTTAGTGGACTCCAGACACACAGCTGGGCTTGGCCTCCTCGCCCCGTGGGGGGAAGAGGCAACTTGTGAGGACAAAGGTGTCGGCAGCTGGACCCTGAGGGCTCTGAGACAGCAGGGTGGTAGCAGGCGGCATCTTGCCTCGGTGGTCCCGCCACGCAGGGAGGAACACTAGGCCCATCTCCAACTGCAGAAGGAAGGGTGCCCACTCATGTCGTGTGTTGGTTAGCTACAGGCATCACCCAAGTAGCCCCCCCCACCCTTCCATCCCCAGCCCGGGACCCACGTGGAAGAAAATGTCACCTTTGCCCATCTGGGTGTCACTTGCATCTCTTTTGAATGTTTTCCCCTGTGGTGGAGATATGGGAACCCCCTAGGGGTATACGCCGGGCCCCTGACCCCCATCTGTGTCCCTCCAGGAAAATGGCAGGCTGGGCTCTGTCAAGGCAAGTTTGATCCCGGAAAAGGACAACCCCAAAAGCAGGGTGACCTGGATTCCAGTCTCTGGTCTGCAGCTAGCAAATCCTGTAACTTAGAGTAAGCTACTTAAACTCTCCAAACCTCTGTTTCCTCATCTGTAAATTTGAGATAACAGTACTACTTCTTAGGTTCTTGTGAGAATGTAATGATATAATTCTGATAAAGCATTTTGCATAGTGTATTTATTATTATTATTATTATTGAAATAGTTAATAAGAGTATGAACTCTAACAGACTTCCTGGGTTGAATTCTGGTTCCACCACTTACTAGCTGTGTGACCATGGGAAGTCATTAACCTCTCTATGCCTCCATTCCCCTCTATAACATGGGAATAGTAATAGCACCTTTCTCATAGGGTTATACTGAAGGCTAAGTGAATTAAAGTGCACACAGCAGTGCCTGGCACATAAATGTCCTGTTCATACAGTGGGAGGCCCCAGCTCCCTGTTCTGCTGGCCTTGTGTACAAGCCAAGTCATATTGGTCCTCCCTGGGACTGGAGTGGAATCAGGGCCCTCCAGAGACAAGGCCTCCCACCTCAGTTCCCTTCGTGGCCCCCTCTATAGGTCCCTTTCCCACTGCAAAACAGCTCTATCACAGAGCTCTCCTTCCCCTGGGAGAAGAGGTCTCCCAGTCTTCGTTTTCAAGATGTGTTTGCGCCTATATTTTCTCTCTTTCCATCCTCATGGGAGATAGATTAGGTCTGGTCCTGCCTGAAAGCAGAAGGAAGAACCCAGTGGCCTCCAGGAGGCCTCTGGATGGGCCTCCTGCCCCTTCCCAGAGGGCCACAGGCAGGGGTGTGCTGAGTGGGCCCTGCCTCCTCCTCCCATGGGCCCTCTGCACCCAGGTGTTTGCTTTGAGTCAGGCCCAGGGCAAGTCTCTCACCTTTATAGGGCAGGGTGTATTCCTGACCCTGCCAGGCCCCAGGTTAATAGTCCAAAGCAGAACTGAGATTTGATTCTGGAATCTGGGGCCGGCTCTAAGAAAGGGCTGGAAAGAGGCAAAACAAGTAGACGATACTTTGGACCCAGGCCGGCCAGAGGAGCTCTATAAGGCAGGGAGGGGTGGGTTTCTGTGGCTGCCTGGGCATGAAGCCTAACCCCATCTTCTGTGGCCAGGACCAGCCCCATCAGGTTCTCCAGCTTCCTGCATGTGGGATTGGGTGTGTCTGTGCCCAAGGGTTTGTGTGCACGGTGGGGGTTGTGCTTTTTGCACACGTCTGCCACTCTGCCCACTGGCCTGCTCATAGCAAGAGCCCTAGGCAGAGTGCTGCTTCCTCTAATGCATCCCAAGTTGCACTCCCACTGCCATACTCTCTGGAGGGGCTGGCAGACTGACAGCCCTGGGTGCCAGACCATGCATAGCGAGTCGCTGGCACTGCATTTTGCACCAGTTTCTGGCATTTACAGCAGAGAGTACATGGGATTTGAGGGCAGAATGGCAACACGGTAGGGTGGTTGGAAGGGGGGACTACTCAGATAACTCAGCCTCTCCCTGGTTCAGGGCTGGGGTGGTCAAAAAGCCAATGGGCCCCAGCCATTTTCCTTGTAGGCTGAGCTCAGGAGTCACCGTGACACTGCCCTGAGAAGTCAGGCTCCTCCCTGGCCCAACTTTGTTCTCTGCTTCACAGGAACCACTTTCTCCAGCATGAAAGGGATGGGGGCTGCCCTGGTCCACCCCACTCCACCCCAGCAGGCCTATGCCCTTTAGCAGGCTTGGATCCACGTGTTAGTGGGATGGAGAAAGGAGCTCCCAAAGGACAGATCACTGATTGCCTCACCTCGGGGAAAAAAATTATCCTGGAGGATATGACCCAGACAGAAATATGAAAGGGAAACAATCGAGAGATGAAGGTGGAGAGTGCAGAGGATAGGACTGGGACAGAGATGGGTAAGGGGCCACCTCGTGGCCAGACTTGGAACTGCAAGGTGTGCCTTCTGGCGGGACCAGGGTGCAGGGCTCCTCCTCCAGCCTTGTACCAGCAGGCCAGGGTGAGGGGCTGAATGTGCCCGGATCTCTCAGCTCACAAAGGTCAGGTCCACCCAGCAGGCACAAGGGAGGGGGGAGGGCGATCCAGGTTTGCAGAGGAAGGAGATACGAAAGCAGACAGGGGAAATGGCTCTGAATGGAGAGGCCTCTCCTGATGGCCAGAGTCGGGGGCGGGACTGGGTTTGTTCTCAGGGTTCAGGATTTTGATGGGCTGAGCAACCTAGATGGGGAAAGTATGCTGTGTAATATCACAGGGACTGAGCAGAAGGGGCCCTAGGGGGACCTTAGCAAGCAGCTGCCAACCCTTAGCCCTCCATTCTGGTCCTGAGATCCTGATGGTGGACAGTGTGCCCAGAGCCCAGCACACCCTCCCTCCCCACACTTTCCATCTTCCCTTTCTTCTCAGTGCTCATGGTCAGAGCCACAGAAATGACCAGAAAACTGGGTTTTTAATGGAGAGAGGCCGTGACACCTGTGGGCGCCCTACACATCATCGAAGCTGGGAAGGGATGCGGCAGGGGCTGAAGGAAAGTTGCCCTCACTGTCTCTTCCTCCTCAACCAGTTACACCACGGGTGACCAGGAGGCCGCAGGTGCCTGGTGAGTGGCTGGAAGCTCCCCATGCTGGGGTGAGATCTTCAGACACTTGTGTTTCTCCTCTCTCTTGTGTGTCTGTTTAACTCCTGTTCCAGAGGAGTCATGCAGGCTGCAGGGGGAGGTGGGGCAAGAGGGATGCTCTGAACATGAGGCAGGGAGGTGGGCGAGCTGGACTGGAGGAAGTAGCATAAAGCAGGAGCCCAGAGCACAGTGCAGCACGTTGGCCTGTAGGGACAAGAGGCAGAAGCTATCAGTTCCCAGTGACCCCTGTGCAGTGTATGAATCCCTGATTTACCCACAGCACATGTGGTCCAGGCTTCTTCCAGCACACCTGGGGCTGGCTCATTATCTGTAGGGGCACCGACAGAGCTTCAGCTTCTCAGCTCAAGGGCTCAGTTCCCCCCCCCTTGGGGGTCTCCTCTCACTTCTGGACACTGCGGTCTCAGTTCTCACCCTGCTCCATGACTGGTTAATTCCTACCTCTATGCTCTCATGGCAAGACCAGCCCTCCCAACATGCCCTTCCCCTTGATCCACTAACACCCATCACCTCCCCAGAGAGCTCTTCCTCTCCAGAAAGTCTTATCTGACCAGTGCTATCTGGTTGACCCCTGTCCTCTTGCACAGTCTCAGCACCTCCATAGAGGGCTTTATTGCAGCCTAATTTTCCTGCTTTGTCTGGTTTCTCCAGCTATTTCCTCACAGGGTGGGAAGTCTTATTATCCTCTCTGAGAGGTAGCTCCCTGGGAGCAGGGGCTATGAGTGCCGGGTACTTGGCAGGGTGCACAAATAAAGGACCTCGCCAGTAGGTATTTAAAAGAGCTTAGATTTTCAGAAAGTCAGAGCTGGAAGGACCTCAGGGATCATAGAATCCAGGGTCCTCAAATTTTTTCGTGCATCAGAATCACCTTAGAAGACTGGCCCCACTTCCAGAATGTCCAATTTAGTGGGTCTGAGGGAGGGGTGGATCATTTGCACCCTGGGTACAGGACCATATTGGAGAACCACTGATCTGATACAACCTCCAATTTTATAGCTGAGACGAACAAAAAAGGCCCCAAAGCCAGAATGACGTGTCCCCAGGTATCATGGTGCTAGAGCCAGGACTGAGCCCCAGGAGAGCTGACTCTCTTTAGACTCCTTTTCTCCCTGCACCACAATGGACACAACCCCAGCCCTTATCCTGGAGTCCCTAAGTATCTTCTAGACTGTGATGAGCCCCAGAGAAGAAGGGAGTTGGTCTCTAGGTACCTTTACTGGGAGGTCGGAGACTTGGCAGCATCAAACATCTTCTTCCGGCCCTCCATCCCAGACATGGCCTCCACGTTCTTCCTCCAGTCCCCAACCTCCACAGGCCGCTCCTGTGGGCAGGTCGCACACACATCAGATACTTGCCAGGCTGGAAGGGTGACCGGGGACCACAGCTCAGGAGAAACTGGGTGGTAGAAAATCAGCCTCCTCAAATGATAAGAAATCCCGACACCCCTCCCCAGCGAGTGAGGTCCCAGATCTCAGCCAGGCGGGTGAGCATGGGTCAGGCTGAGCTTCCACAGGAGAAAGGAAGCCGTGTGGGGTGGGAGTTCTGGATGACAGTGGTGGGATATGGGGCCAGTTCCCAGCCCAACGCACCACAGCCCAACCTCAATCATCCGACTACAGATCAGAGTTACCTCTTCCAAGAAACCTCCCCCTATTAACCCAGCTCATTTTCCATTTTGCCAACATACTTCCTGGCTCACCTTTTCTCTTGATGAAGCTTTCTAGACCAGAGACTGTGTTCCTACCATTCCTTATAGAGGCCTATCAATTCCGGGCACCGGTACTGTGAGTTCAACCAACTTTGAGTGATTTGATGCCAAGTGATTGAACTCAGTTCTCTCATGTCTGTGCTCAGTTGTACCTATAACCACAATGAGGTGCTGTCTCCACTCCCTGTACTGACAGAGGCAGTCATCTCCCCTGTTACCATAAATCTCCACATTCTCTGCACACTGCGTGTAGGATCTTTACTTCAGTTCTTTCTTTATGTCCCAATTTTTTCCTCTGGCCGGGAGCAGCCTTCTTTCTCCCAACACTGGTCTTTCAGGGGGTTCTAGAATGTTCTGTATGACAGGCTGACTGGCCTCCTGGGCCTGCCTGAGGACGTATGGAAGGTTCTGAGGAAAAAAAGGGGTCTCGCCTTCTCTGTGTCTTCTTTCTTCACAGACTTAAGGTTGGCCCGCAGATCCATGGACACCTTGTGCTTGGAACCCAGTAGAGCCCGGAGCATGGCGTCAGCCGAGACACGGACCCGACGCAGGGGCGGACGCTTGAACTTCCCACGGAGGTCCAGCACCTTCAGCTTCAGGTCCTTAATCTGCAGGTAAGAAGGGGCCAGGGCTCACTGGATGGGGAGCTAGCCACAGAGCGCCCTTCCTGAGGATCTGGGACTGCTAGGGTTCCAGCCAGAGCTATAGCCCCAATTCTCCAGCCTGGAGGCCAGACCTTCTGTGACCCTCCCAGACCCACCCAGCCATTTGCAAATAGCCACCACACATCTGTTAATAAACGAATGAACAAATGAACAGATAATGCTCATTAGCTGTCACTAACGCTGTAGCCTTGAATAAAAGGGACAGCCCCACCAAGTTCAGACCACCCGCATGGCTTAGAGACCCTGCTTGAGAGTGCAGGGCCGTTTCCTTTTGTTCCTGCAGCCTCATTCCGGCTTCTAACTAGCTCCTCCCCAGTGAGCCTTCAAAGAAGCTCACAGCCTTGGTCCAGCAGAGTGGATAAACCTCCAGGTCCTAGACCCCAGAGGCATTTCCAGGGTGTAATCTCTAGAAGGAAGTCTTGAGAGTTTGGTGACCATCATCATTTCTGGTGGGCAAAAGTGGGAAGGAGAGGAATAGCTTGTCCTCCCTCCCTCCCCACTCCTCGCTGCTTGGACAAATGTCCAGAAGAAGCCTTCCGTTTCCCCACTCTGCACCACCTCCCTCCCGCTCCCCGCCAGCAGGCTCTGGATGAAGCTGATGCCCCCACATCCTATGCCAAGAGAGCACTGGAAAGGGAGTCAGAGACCAGCACCAATCGCAGGACCACCACTGTGTGATCTGGGCTGAGTTCCTAGCCTCTCTGAACCCCAGTGTTCTCCTCTGTAAGATGCAGATAATAGCCCCGCCTTCATCCACAGGCTTGCAGGGAGGATCAAAGAACACAACGCACATGAAAGCACTTCACAAAGCTAAGATGTTATTAGCAGACATATGATTATCTGTGTGGGTGAATAAAGAGGGCAGCTTCTGCTAGGCTGAAGAGCCCGCGTGGCAGGCAGGGAGGAAGTCTGTGCTTTTCATGTGTGATTATCCTCTCTGCCCATCTCCAGCCCTGTGGGCCTAGGGCAGAGGAACCAAAGCTTCCTGCTAAGTGGCCACTTTCCAGGCCCTGCAGAAGGAAGGAGACTTCCCATGGCTGCCACATCAGTGCCCCCCCCGCCTCCCCAGCCCGCCTGGCCGTGTCCCTTCCTTCCTTCAGACTCACCTCCCTGGTATTGTGGAGGCACTTGGCCTCGATGTCATATCGCTCCTCGTCTACCACCTCCACCTTGGCATGCAGCTCCCGGCACAGGTCCTGGGGGAGGCAGGTTGATCAGGTAGGCATGGAGAAGGAGGGAGACAGTCATCAGTCTCCAGCCTCGACTTTTGCCTCCAAGTCCAGCGCCCTTGGTTTTCTCCACAGCCCCTTCGCAAGACCTGGGCCCTGGCGAGGAGCTGACAATCTCCTTTACGCAGAGGCTCATGTCAGGTGACAGTTCCAAGGGTGCGCCATCTGCTCTCCTTCCTGTATATGTTTTCTTAAAAAGTAGTTTTCTAGGCTGGGTGCCAGTAATCCCAGCACGTTGGGAGACTGAGGTGGGAGGATCACTTGAGCCCAGGAGTTTGAGACCAGCCTGGGTCACATAGTGAGAGCCCATTTGTACCCCCAAAATTTGCAAAAATTAGCCAGCATGGTGGCACATGCCTGTAGTCCCAGCTACTCAGGAGGCTGAGGCAGGAGGATTCCCTGAGCCCAGGAGTTGGAGTTTGAGTTATGATGATGTCACAGCATTCCAGGCTGGGCAACAAAGCAAAGACCCCCTCTCTCAAGAAAACAAAAAAATTCTTATGATAAATGGAATATAAGTTAATTGTAGACATTTTGAAAACAATGATCTATATAAAACAAGAATAATAAAAATAACTAGTGATGCCACCACCTGAAGATAACTAGTGACATTTTTATGTATTTCCTTCCAATTTCTTTTCTCTGTAATCACTAGCATTTAAACATTTACCACTGATTCTAAAAGCATTAAGGACCAAACTCTAGGGGGAAGATGAGCAAGTGTCTGGAGAAATTTGGCTTCCCAAGTCCTCGCCACTTCCCCGCTCCATGCCATCTCACTGGCTGAGATGAAACTGGGTCCCCGGCTCAGCCCGGCCACAAGGAAGTCATTTCTCCCTGTGAGGCTCACGTCCCAGGCCTATAAAATGGGTTGTAACACCACCACTTTGCAGGCATTTGTGAAGATTAAGTGAGAACCACCTAAGGGAAGAGCACCTTGTAAATTGCAGCGCTCTGAGTTAGTGTTAGTTCAGGCTCCTGCCACCCGGTCCCTAGGGCCACCCTAGGCTCCAGCTGGGCTCCAGTTGCAAGGCTCACCTGCAGGGCACTGAGGGACAGGCCACGGGTCTGCAGCGTGGGGATGCGCTCGGCCAGGTAGCGCGCCTTTTCAGCCTCGCGCTCCTCGTGCTCCTGCTCCCAGCATTCCTTGGCCTTGGCCAGCATCAGGCTCTAGATAGAACAAACCCGCTGAGTTGGGGCCCTCGTGTCTCCTGCCTGGCATCAGAGAATGAGGAGAAAGCAGCCCCGGCTCTGAATCTGTCATTCAGTGTAAAAGTGTGTGTGGTGTCTGTGGGCAGGCCAGCATGGGTAAACACTAAGTGACTGTACTCCTTGGGCCCTGGAGCTTGTCTTGCTCTCACAGTCTTTCTCTCACCTCCTTTTTTGTCTGTATGCCACAGAGCTCCAAAGAGGGAAATATGTACCAAAATACAGTGAGTCCCCCTGGCCTCAACAGTAGCTCCCACTCAGAAGCTGTGTACCCACTGCCTTCTCTCAGCACCCCAAGCAGGTGCCATAGTTGGAGGTTCCCACCCACTGACCACCTGAGCCTGGCACTGATTCCTACAACAGCTGGGCTCCCTCTGCCTCTTCCTTGCTTTGGTCTCTTTCCTTTTCTCCTCCTCACTCACTCAGGGTCTGCATTGCTGCCCCTCTGCCCCCCACAGGATTTCCCTTGGAAGCCACCCCACCCCCCCGGCCTCACCTTCAGCATGAGTTTGCGTGAGGCGGTGATCTTAGATTTTCTCTGAGGGCAAGAATTGGGAGAGACAGGTGGTAAGAGGAGGTTGCAAACTGGAATTCTGGTCCAGACCAGGACCACTACTAGTCAGGGTTCACCATCATTGCCCAGAATCCTCTGCTTTCCCTAGGGTCCCTTAAAAGCTCATCTTTGTGATTTAACTCCTCCATTTCAAAGAACACTGCAGTTGGCTACCTTGACCTAGAGACTGAAACCCTGACTTCCCATTCTGGTTCTGCTGCTGCTAGAATCCTGTAAGGGACTGTGAAGGCCACATGGCCTCTCAGGAGACCACCTTCCTCATCCGTAAATAAGGATTCTACGACCCACCTTACTTAACTCACAGAGTTTTTACAGACAAAATAAGACCATGGATGTGCAAATCCTTTGAAAAGCACAAAAAAGATGCATGTTTTAGCACTCAGCATAATAACATCACAATACTTCAATGATCAGTCATGCTATAGAAATAAGCTATGAATTTCCCAAATAAATGAAGCATATCTATATAGATCTCAAAACTTTTAAAAATGTTAACACCACCTATGTAAATCTTTCTAAAATATAAATACACTGTCTTCTCCTCCTATCAAAAATACTAGACATGTTCTTGCCGACCATATATGTTCCAATAAGTCTTAACAAGTCCTAGTCCCATGGCAGTGGTCCCTCCCAGGTGGTGCAGGTGAGTAGACCTGCTCGACCCCTAACTGAAGAGACTGTGAGGCCTTCCAAGCACTTCTGAGCCATAGGTTGTCACTTCCAGTTGCTAGCAGTGAGCACCCCACCCATGTCTAAGGTACTGTGAACTGGGAGAGCATTTGTCATTCTAGTGTGTAGAGCGGATACGATCAGGTCTTGAGTGAGGAAATAAGTGCATTTTAGTGCACAGAATGTGCGTTTCTAATCTGACCGTTCAGCGTGCTTTGTTTGTCCTTCCTCTCCTAAAGGCTAGATTGTTGCTATGCTTCAGGTTAAGTGTGATTTTTGAGAGAAGTGGCCTGTTACTGTAAGCACTAGCCCCATGAGTTTCACTGTGATGTACCCTCAGCAAAAGTTTTCTTGCAGTCTTGTTTCCCCAGTACTTGGATGGCTTATGGCCACATCATTTGACCATGAGTCAATGGTGACTCACTTTAATATGAGCCTCAGCAAAACTTAGAAATTCATATGATTGTTGAAAACTAGCATGTTCAATTCTCACTGAGAATCTCTGTGCCTTCTTAGTGCTGCTAATCCCTACCCTTGCCATCCCCGAGTCCCTAGCACTGGACTGTACACAGGCTGTGGATTGTATAGAATGGCCAGGACTAGGGTTATCTAAGACCTGAGAGGGCTCGAAGGACATCTCTTTGCTCCTCCCTCAATGTTTGGTCATTGGGCAAAGATGGAATAACCCAATGACTAGCCCCTTACCTTTCAAATATGGCTTTGCACATGGTCAGCTCTGCAAGGGACAGGATGGTTCCCCCAGAACTGGATAAGCTCTCAGAGTGAGTAAAGGCAACTTGTGCCAGCTAGGGTGCAGAGTTGTCCAGCTCTGCTGCAGTCCCAGCCCCAGGACCACCTGCTGGTGACATTGTGCAACTCCCTGGATCCTGGAAACCCCCCGCCCAAGGAGAATCTTCACCCAGGTTTCTACCTCCTGGGAATTTGCTCAGCCACTGGGCACCCCCACTTCCCTAAACCTTAACCCAAGCTCTCCCCTCTCATCAGAGGCCAACCCCGCCTTCCCCAGTCTGAAAAGTTAACCAGGACAGACACCCTACATATCACTCACCTCGCTTCAGGCATCCATCACAGGAAGGACAGGGGAAGAGCAGAACACAGAATGAGTGTGAACAATGCTTATGACCTATGAAGCCCCAGAACCATGCAGACCGGTTTGGAGAACGAGGGACAGGTGATGACAGTTTGTCAGAAAGAAATCAGGTATAGGGCAGGGGGACTGGTTCGAGGGTTCCAGCAGAATAGGAAAAAAACCCAGCAGCCTTTTGGGTTACTAGACACTCTTATTGGGAGGTACTAGGCATTGTAGGTAGGGGAGGAGTGGGTAGGAGGGCTGGGAAGCCCTGGGGTAGGGTTCTAGCAACATGAAAGTGTCCATCCCTGGGCTTGTGGGAAAATTCCCAAAGCTTTGTTCATCTACTGGGCCCATGTTAAATCACGGCCTGATGCATGCAATTCATTTGATCCATGCAGGCAGGCAAACTCTGAGGCACAGGCCAAAGAGGTCTTCCCAGGGCATCCTGAGAGTATAGTTTCTAGAAGGACACCTGGCAACACTGGGAAAGCCATCAGAGGCTGATCCCTCCTTTAGGATCTTGTCTCTTGGGGAGCAGCTTCAGGGGTTGAACAAATGGTGCCTCAACGATGGGGCTGAAAAGTCTGTGGCAAAGGACATGGTTTTCTGAGCCCCAGATGGGGTGAAACTACTTACACTTCCGGCATGGTGGCAGTGGACCAGCACCTAGAGGACACAGAGGAATCATTCATGAGGGAAAGTTTTTAACTCCTGCCCCCAACCCAGCTGGGCCTTGGGCGTCAGCAGCCCGGCCTGGGAGAGACAGTCAGAACCAGGAAGAAGAAATCAGACATAATGGATTCCAGCATGTCAGGATGGGACAGGGGTGTGGGACAGGGATCAGCAAACTACAACCCAGCCTGTTTTTGCTTAAAGGATTGTAAAATAAAATAATTTGTGACAGAAGCTTTATTTAATTTGCAAAACCTGAAATGTTCATTATCCGACTCTTTCCAGAAAAAGCTTGCCAACTCCTGAGGGGAACAAAACGGAATGTGTAGGAAATATGTTTGGAAAGTGAGAACAGAGCTCACTCATGAGGGCCTTGAATGACAAACTGAGTTTGGGCTTCATCCTGTGAATAAGAGTGTCAGAGCAGGACAGACCTGGAAGGTGAATGGAGCTGAGAGAATCTGGAATAGAGGTAGCTGCCACATAGCACAACTCCAGGGGGGCACCATCCACATAGATGGCAATGCCAGTGGCTCCCCTGGGGAAAGGCAGTGGGGAGACCCTGAATAGAGGTTAAGACAGGAGGCAGGGCAAATCCTGTGTCTCCCTCTAGTCTATCTTTACCCTCTGTGGGATGGTTTTCCTCTCTGCAAAATTAGGGGTTAAATAAGTGGTATTCCACTCGATGTTTACTATTAAATAATTAGTTTAAATAATATTAAACTAAGCCGGGCTCAGTGGCTCAACCTGTAATCCCACCCTTTGGGAGGCTGAGGTGAGTGGATTGCCCGCGGGTTCGAGACCTGCCTGGGCAACTTGGCGAGACCTCATCTCTACAATAAATCAAAAAAGCAGCCGGGTGTGGTAGTGCATGCCTGTAGTTCTAGCTACTCGGAAGGCTGAGGCAGAAGGATTATCAGAGCCCAGCAGGTTGAAGCTGCAGTGGCCGGGAGCGGCCACTGCACTCCAGTCTTGGCGACAGAGTGAGACTCCAACTCAAACAAAACAAAACAAAACAAAACAAACAGCTGGGCGTGGTAGCATGCCTGTAATTCCGGCTACTTGGAAGGCTGAGGTGGAAGGATTGCCGGAGCCCAGCAGGTCGAGGCTACGGTGGCCCAGAGCGGCCACTGCACTCCAGTCTGGGCGACAGAGTGAGACTCCAACTCAATTAAAAAATAATAAGATAATATTAAACTAATATTATCTTAATATTAATTATTATTGTTTAATAATTATTATATTTAAATTTAATAATTAAATAAAATAATAGTTTAATACTATTGATATTATTTTAATAATAATATTTTAAAATAATTATAATTAATATTATTTGGTTGTACTCTTGAGTTGTTCAAACCAAATCTTACTTGGAAGCAAAATGAATTCACTCAGTAAGGACAAAATGGCGCTGGGGGCGGGTAGGGGGTTACCATAGGAACCCTCTGGTCCTCTCTGAGGATACTTAGGCACAGTTTGAAGCCCCCTGATCAGCTGATCCCTGGGACCCAGGCCAAGGACGGGGTTCATGAGGCTACAGAGAGAGACATTTCTAGCCAGACCTAACTCTGTCTTGCCAGGGTCTGGACATGAAGCATTCTGACAGAGGAGTAGGGAAGGATGGTGGCAAAGCTCCGGGGAAGGAAAAGGACAACTGGGATGGGGACAGGCATGCCAGGAAGGACAGGAGTCCTGAGCTAGGCTATGAAATGAAAGATGGGAGAGACGACTGTGCATGGAGGGGGCAGGCCTGGAGCTCAGGGTCAGGAGTTTGGACTTGGTTCAGAGCAGAGTTGGGGGAAGATCCTGAAGAATGCTTGCCAAGGGCTACCAATAATTTCATTCCAGAGACATCCTTTCCTCTGCCCCAGTTTCCTCCTTTCCCTTTGTGCCTGTGAAGCATCTTCCCGACCCCAATAAACAGGGCTTGGACCACCTCTCCCGAATCTCCCACCTGGTGAGAAAGCCGTCTGGGTGGGCCTCCACCTCTGCCTCTGCCACCAGGGGAGAGTGAGACTGGGATGGAGGAGGGGAGGGGGGAGAGTGACCCCAGAGTCTCAGCTGTCACCCCAGGGCACAGAGGGAGATGTGTGGAAACAATCTGTAAATTCCTGAGATGCTTGGCTGAAATTAGATTTTATAGGCAGCTGCTCATTCTGAGGACTCCGCTTCTCCAGAGACACTGAGGAAGTCCAAAGCAAACATTAGCTGGTGAAGAACCACCTCAGCTTCATCTGTCTGTCATGACCCTCCAGGAATGCCAGTCTCAGAGGGCACCGGGTCTCGTGTCTGTCTCCCTGGGATGTGCCTCATCCTGGATGGGCATTTGGCCATGATCATGCCTCCCTCTCTCCTTCAGAGAGCCTACTGTCCCCAGTATGGAGCCCTAGCTGTCAAGGCCAGTCTATGCTATCTGCCAAGCTCTGGGGCCTGACCCCAGCCTGCCTCACTGACAAATGCCAGACCAACGGGTCCCACATCAGGCCAGAGGCCCCAGCCTGTGTTCTGACACCCACCAGACAGGACCCCTTGACAGGTCCTATGGAAGACAATCAGGAACTGATAAGAAGTCAGGATGTAGATAGCAGCAATGCCAGGTTTGGAGAGCCAGGATTCCGTCTCCCCCTCAAGTAGCACACAAGAAGATAATTAGAAAATCCACCGTTGGATGGAGGAAGCAAAGAATCTCTGGTGGCTGGCTCATAGTTGGGGCTTCCCTTCCCTGAGGCTCTGTGGAATGGAAAGGACTACCCACTAGACTACGAGGTTGAGCCTATGTGTATAAATATGTGTGCAAGTGACTGTGTGTGTATGTGTGTAAGAAAGTACCTGTGTGTGTGAGAGGAGTAGTTGTATTTGTGAATGTGTTTTCGTGTGGAGGCATGTGTGTGTGTAGAAGAAAGTGATCGCTTTGCACACCAAATAATGAAATCCACAAATATCTAGTTAAACTCATGTTCATCCCCCTGCTCCCTGTCCCTGACCTTGAACCCCTGTTCAAGGGCATCCTTTTCCTCCTTGACTGACCATAACAGGCTACACTCCCAAGCCGCTGTCTACCACACACCACACCCACCTCTTGAGCTCTGAGCAGCAAAGCCTAATCTCAGAACTGCTGTGGAACTGTGACTCCCAAACCTGATGGCTGGTGCTACCTCTAGCCTCCACTCCAGTGAGAGACCACCAATGCCTCGCAACCCCCAGCCACGGATCACACGGTCGATATTGCCCTGGCTTACGTGCTCATACGCTCTTGGGTCCCAACCCAAACTGCTGTCACTATTGCCTTCCCCTAAGAGGACCCCCAACGGCTACTGCTACTCCCGAGGGCCAGGAGCAGTGAAGAGGGGTTGGCCCCTGGCATTTGGGATTGGTCATTGGCGAAGGGGGGTTGGCAGTCTGCCCTCACCTGCTCGTGTCCTACTACACAGATGGATGGGCAAAGAAAGCTAGGAGTGTCCCTCAAAGACAAAGAACAAAGAAGCAAGATGGTTTCCTGGGTCAGTGACAGGTTCTGGTCCTGCCTTCAAGGCTCCCCGAGGGTCCTGCCTGCCTGACCACTTTCTTCCTCTTCCACCATAAGCAGTGTTCACTCTGGTGGCTCCCCAGACCCTTCCTAAATTCCCAAATACAACCCCTCTGCCTGGGCAATCTGATCCCCAGTGCTGCCCCCTTCCTCTGGGGGCCCTCTCCCTCCTGCAACCTGCTGGGCTCCCCAGGGTGAACAAATAATCCACTAGGCTCTGCCTTAGGACTCCTAAGGAACCTGGTGAAAAATTCTGCTTCCGGCTCCCAGCCTCCCAATGGCTAGGAAAAGATTTCACCTCTTACAACACTTTAGAAGGAGAGGGGCCATTCAATGAGACAAAATGCTGGAAGAATATTTCAGGAATGTTCTGCCAACGAACCAACTGTACAGGCAAGAAATGTCTTCTTTCACCTCCAACACTTCACTTTCTCCTTAAACAAAAGCCTCAGTCTCTCTGCCTGGGATCTTCAGACCTAGATCTGAAGTCCTGAGCTGCAGACACTTACCTAGTTCAGTCCTCACGGAGCTGGGCTGGCTGTGCCTCACTGTAGACTGCAGACTGTGAGGAGCAGAATGGGTGGAGGCTATGAAAACTGTGGCTAGCAGCAACTGGCCGGTAAAAATAGAACAGACCCACTACCCCCTCCTGCGGCCCCTCCTCCCTACCACCCTCTCCCACCATGCACACACCTCACAGGGCAGATGCACATTGCAATGCACACAACAGGCACACAGGCTTAGGACACATATGTGCATGGCTCAGGAGCACTTGCAAATCCTGTGCACACAGAGGCCAACAGCTGAGTGAAACCAGCACCCACCTAGGGAGATGCAAGCCACAAAAAGGGACAGAATGCAGAGTCAGCCCAGATGTGGGGACTGAACAGAGATGGGATGGGGGAGGGGAATGAGTGAGAGCAAGGGGCGTTGGGAGGTCTGGAGGGGACAGCAGCAGCTGGGGGAAGGAGACTGTCATGCAGACCCAGCATCTCTTACGAGGAAACGTGGAAATCAGGCCCTTCAGTTCATGCTCCAAAAGCCTAAGAAGGCTAAAGCCTTGACTTTCAGGGATTTTTTTGTGACTCTGGTGCTCGTGGGCTAGGAGGATGCCTGGATATAGGGCGTGATACACTTAGTGTTGCAGGCAGATTCCTGTGAGTGCTCCTGGGGTGGAGCTGAACAGCAGTATGCTCCTGGAGGTCCAAGGGTCCGCAGCGTTCTGCACCTCCCTACAGGGAGGTGTCCTGGAATCTAGGTTTCCCAAGTCCCATTCCTGGAATTCAGTGAGACTAACCCACCTCTCCCCTGCCCTAATCATCTCCAGCCAGAAACCAATGGATCCCAGGGGACTGGTGCCGCAGGGGCTGCACCTGTTGACTGGGTATTTTTAGGATGGTTGATGAACACATAATACCCATCCTATAGTCAGAGAAAGACAATGCCTGCTATGTTAATCCTGTGGCTATTATGGTCGGTCCTCTCCTGGGCCAGCACCCCAGGTTGGGGCAGGACAGGCAGGACACTGACCCCTCTTGCAGGCCAGAGAGAGGCCTTGCCAGCAGCAGGAAGCTAGTGAGCTCCAATCATGCTTCTCATTTGAGAGGGAGAGAGTTGTTGGGCAGAGGTGTCCTCAGGAGACACACCCCCGTGCCCACAGAGAGGTACAGGCCTTGCCCTCTGGACACTGACATTCTGCTGCCTAACAGAGGCTGGCCCAATTTTGTTGTAGTCAGGTCAGCTTTGGGGAGCCTCTGTGCTAGAAAGGCTGCCAAGGACAAAGGACAGGGTCTGGGAAGTTGTGGGGGTTGGGGCATAAGATTCCAAGGAGAGGGGCTGGGACGGAAAATAAAGGCAGACACCAGCCAAGAGGGGCAGCTGGACCAGAGAGGAATCTGGGACCTGGGGATGAATCTACTGGCATTTATTGCCTTGGATTCTTATGTTTATAGTGTATACCATGACTTTCTTACAAGATCTTGATATACTCCAGAAATGAATTATCTGCAAGAATTATCCTGCCTTTTTAAAAAATAAACAAAGAGAACAGATTGACAAATAGTAGAACAAAGGCGGGTCAAGACAAGCCTAAAAAGTAGGTGACCAGATGTCTACTTCAAGACATGGTGAAGGCACCCCACCCAGTGGGTCATTCCCTTTGCAGAAACCACAAAGAATCATGAATGCTGAGGGTCTTGGGGTATTACTTGTCCTCGGACTCTGTTGGGCAGTATGGGGCTGGGATTCCTTGTCCCAAGTCCCAGCATCCTGACGCCATCCCCACCATCCCTCCACGCTGCATGGAATCCAGACTCCAGATCGCCTCCCTCAGAGCCACCCTGGCCTGCAGCCCCAGTTCACTACTGACTTCTCTGGGGTGTCTCTCCTCCTGTCAGCTCAAAGGTAACCATTGAAACTGAGACTGTCACACCCTATTATCCTTGACCCTGCCTGAGGCATCCTGTGTGTGTGGAGTGGGCACAGAGGTCTCTGGAGCCTGCCTGCAGGCCCAGATGATCTCTGGTGAGAGGCTGCCTATCCCACCCGAGGGGCCACTGCTGAAAGTCTCAGCCTTGTGGTCCCACTCACTGTCTCCTCTGCCGTCTTTCTCCTGCCCTCTTTGCCTACAGAAAAGCTCACCTCCTTCTCAGTGCACACCTGCTCAAGGGCCAGGTCACCCACTTCCCATTCCGCCTGCAGAGCAGGGACAGCTGGGCCAGAGCTATGAGGTCCTGTCTGGCACAGATGCTCCCCGGTCAGGGAGGACCCTCCTCAGACAGAGGCAGAAACAGTGCTCATAGCCCTGTCAGCCCCAGGCAGCACTACACGTGGTAAGTTGAATAACAGCCCCCTAAGACACCCATGCCCTAATGAAAATGTGAAGATGTTACCTCACTAGGCAAAGGGACTTTGCAGATTTGACTAAGGAGGTGTAGAGATTATCCTGGATTATCTGGATAGGCCCAATCTATTCACAAGGCTGAGTGAGGCATGAGGTAGAGGTGGAGGTCAGAGAGAAGAGAAGAGGCATGCTGCTGGCCTTCATGATGGAGAGAGACCACAAGCCAAGGAATGCAAGCAGCCTCTAGAAGCAGGAAAAGTCAAGGAAATGGCTCTGCCCCTCAGAGCCTCTGGAAGGGAGCAAGCCTGCCAACACCTCATCTTGCAGCCCAGGGAATCTATTTTGGACTTTTGCCCTCCAGAACTGAAAGATTATAAACTTGTGTTGTTCTGAATCACCAAATTTGTGGTGATTTGTTATAGCAGCAACAAGAAACTAATTTACCTGCCAGCGCCTTGCTGGGCACTGGACTTCATGGTTCCATCTGTGTTTGGGACCGACCAGGTAAATGTTGAGCTTGGGAGGGTCAGTGAGAAGAACCAGACCAGGCTGAGTCTCCGCAGGGCAAGAAAACCCGAGGCAGAGTCTCATGCTGGCCAGAACCCAGCCCCACCAGGGCCTAGCCTTCGCAAAAGCCGGCTCTGATCTTGCTAAGAGAATAACAGGATGTCAGAGCAGGAAGACCATCCAGTCCAATCAGTGTACCCATGAGGAAACTGAGGCCTGAGAGGCCTAATGGTGGGTCTTGTCTCCCAACCCAGTGCTTCTGTCACATTGCCTGGGAGGAGAGACACCCCCTTAACCTTAACTGTAGCCAGTATGAATCCTAGCACTATCCCTCCTTTTAATCCTAATATAATCCATGCCCCTCCCTTTAACCCAAACAGAGACTCCAACGTCCCCTAGGTGACTTTAGAGTGAATTGGAAAACAGCGCCCTCTCCAGGTGGATGTGGCCCCACAGGTAAATGACTAGGGTGTCCTGCACTGCAGCCCCCTCTCCTGGTGCTCTTGTGAGAACAATCTACAAAACTGCACAGGGCGGCCCTAGCCCTAACCTACTGGAATCATCATCTTCTTGCTGTCTATTCACTTGTTTGTGTTACTGAGGTGGTCACTTGCCCTGTTTCAATCCAAATGCGCATAGCATGAAAAATGCTAAAGTTGACCTTGTTCTAATGCCTTACCCAGCTTCATCTCCAAGCCTTACTCTATTTTTTTTTTTTTTTTGAGTTGGAGTCTCACTCTGTCACCCAGACTGGAGTGCAG